GTTGGAGATACCTTCCTCTAAGGCACATTACCAAGATGCGGCTGACTTCCTCAAGCAGTCGTCCTTAGGCTACGCTCTCAACCATGAGCCCCTCATGGTCAAGGAAGTTCTTCAGCAATTCTGGTACATTGCTGAGGTTGTCGAAGTCCAAGACGATGTTGAACGCAAGATGGAGCAAATCCATTTCACTTTCAACCGCATGGAAGTGAACATTGGTGTGTCTACACTCCGCTCAGCTCTACGTCTTCCCAAGGGTCCCTTCGACAGTGAACCCTCCACCACCGAGATCATCAACTTTCTTAATGCCATTGGCTACCAGTGGCCGATGAAGAAGGACTCCAACGCACCTCTGAAGTTCTTGACGAAGATTGAGAAGAACAGGATGTCAGCTGTCTGGCAATACCTGTTTTCTCATTTCATCCAGTGCATGGGTGGAAAAATTGGAGGTCAGGACCAGGCCTCTAGGATCACCTTGATCATAGGCGTATCTGCGATTCAGCGTCACAATATAAATTATGTTGCGGTCATTTTCGATGACCTGGTGCTTAAGCTGAACAAGCGCCAGCGAGAAAAGGTGGTGCCTTACACCAGGTTTCTCTCGATGGTGTTTTCAAATATCTTTAAAGCTCTTTATCCCAAAGAAGGAAACCTTCCGGTTTTCAAGCTTTGATCCAGGATTATGGATCATAAGCTGAGGGACAGTGATGTGGCACTATCTTCCATTGTGTCCATCACTACCTCTTCTCCTCAGGTGGCCATGACAAGGGCAAACCCCCTCGAGTCTAGCCAAGCCACCAAAACCACTTCAAAATGACCCTCTCAACCAACTCTTGGTTCTCCTCAGAGAGCCAAGAAGTCCAAAAGGGGGACACCCACGTCACTAGCTAGGGCCTCTCAAAAGGCTTCAGTTATTGAAACTAGCCTTACCCCCGAGGCGTCTTCTGTTCACCCTCCCAGCTCTTCAGTGATTTCTCCTATCACTGTCGTATCAGTGGTACCTTCACCAATCACTTTAGTGACCCAAATCACTAAAAGTGTAAATATCAGCGCCGCCACCGCTGAACACCCACGTCTCTTCTTGATCGTTTTCTCTTTTCCTCCTTCCTTGGTCCTTACACATGTCGATGATGTATCAGCGTCTGTCCTCCTTGATACTAAGACGCGCACCAATGGACCTGAGGGTGCTCCTCTCGATGCTCCTCAGCATACGGATGTCCATCCTCTCGAGGACATATTTGCTCACGCCAGTGACAATCCTTTAGATGTCACTGACGGCCCCTCAGGTATTCCATCTTCCTACCCTTTCTTTTCTTCTAACCTTGAGCCCTCAGCTCACACTTCTTCTTTTGCAGGTCCTTCTTCGATGCATCAGTCTTATGCTCAGGAAGTGGAAGAGGAAGAAAGAGAGAAAGATGATGGAGGAGATGAAGATGTCGATGATGACTATGATATGAAGTCAAACATCAAACTTCTCCTTCCAGCCGTTGATACCGTCCTCTGCATGATCAACGAAGTTCACCAAGAGATGCCCCATCAAGGAGATCTTGATACGAACTTCCTTGCCCTCCAGGCGGATGTTCAAGAAGTTCAGAGTCATCTCCAGACTTTCCAAGAAGTTGTTCAAGCCAATAACGACGCCATTGTTGTTCTTCACTGCAGGGCTGACGATGCTCAGGCTATAGCTGATCAGCAGACTGGTCTTCTTCAACAGATCCTGGATGTTGTCCGTCAACCAGCTCAAGTGATTGCACCCTATTTCTCTGCCGATGATCGCACCTAGCTCCATGAGACACGTGAGGCAATGACAACTCTAGCCAATGCTTTGCAAAGGCTGGAGGATTCCATGGTTCTCCAGCGTCAGCGCTTGGACGAACTCTCTGGCAAATTCTCTCAAGTCTTAGCCAGAGAGGGGGAGATGAGGTCCAACGCTGGTGAATCATCCGATGTTGTGCCTACCCCTTCTCAGGCTTGACACGCACTCTAACCCTACCATATTGCATTAAATATTCATTTAATGCACTGGGTATAAATAGAAGTGTTTCTTCTCCATGTAGAGTGCGCGCAACTCACTCTCTAACCCTAATTCTTACTTCAAGCATTTTCTAGCTTAAGTAAAGGATCTTCTTTACAGCAATTTCTTTTCTTGTATTTGCTAAGACTTTGTGAGTAACCAAAGATTGTTTAGATAGGTTTTTATTACCTTWTCTTTCCGCAAACAATCTTGTAAAATCTGTATTGATCATCTCTATCAATATATATTTTAAATTTGAAAATATTGTGTTTGTATTCATCCCCCCCCCCTTCTACAAACTGTTTCTCTTCTTGTAGACCCTCACGGGACCAACAGTGTGTTTCCTTGTAATATCTAGATATGAATAAGTTGGTAGTTAGCAGTTAATCAGATTCCTTAACATTTAGATTTTATGTGAGATCATTGTGAGACCTCATGAACACATTGTACTCAAACTATCATCAATAGACTTGCCGACATAAACATTTCTACAAATCTGTGTTCTTGATCTTAATCTTTTATGTTATAGACTTGAATCTGGATATACATAATGCCTATTCAACTCGTGGTTCACTAAAATATTTTTTTATAAGACTGTTTGCACTAGAATGTCATGAAGCTCGCACATTTATCTATCCCATAATTGGATGAATCTATTGCTTCCGGATTGGCAATGATTCTGTGGTTCAAGGTTGTGTTGAGTAGTTTGCAGTTATAGTAGTACTTTGTGCAATCACTGGTGTTGAACTCACATTGAATCTTATCTTAAAGTTGAAACTTAAGAGTAAGAGTTATATTCAGGGGGGAGCTTAAAGATTTCATTAATGTCAGACATACCAAATTTTTCTTAAAGAAAGCAGGGGGGAGAAGACTTGAAGTTTCAAGAGATGCTTGATTTATAAAACTTTGGGGGATGATTGTTAGGACTAAAATAATCCTAAGTTTACGAAAGTTTTATAAAGTCAAATTACTTTGCATTGAATTGATATATTCATGTAATTGGGCTAATGGCAATGGGTTTTACATTGTAAATGTCACCTATAAATAGGTGACATGGGCATAGAATTTAGTGTTGATTATTCGTTTTTTTCATTCTATTCAATTCACATGAGAGTCGACTGATTGAGAAAGAGTTTGTACGTTTAATGCTTTCAATGAATAAGAGAAACGACTGGTTCATCAAGTTCATATTCTTCATCTCTATATCTCAGTTACTGTGTAACATGATTTGATCTTGATTTGTTGTTGATATGAAACTCACAAGCTCCTTGCTCCCATGCTTGGATTCTATTTAAGATAGATTTCTTTCATTCTAAAATCACAAATTTGAGGCTCTAGGCTAGTCCATAAATTAGTAGGGTCGATTTTGAGGAGGATAATATCAACTAAAGGAACAAGTTTAGGACTTAGTCGATTAAAAATCCATCAAGCAACTCACACTACTTACCATGCAACTTAAATCGCTGCAAAAGTCACTTGTGCACTTTTTCTCTTTCAACACCAATGGCTTACGTGACTAACCATGCGACTTAAGTCGTGCAACATGTCAACTCAATGTTTCTTGATTTTTCAAGCCAAAAATCCAAACTCACAGTTCACCTAATTTTCCAAATTATACAATATAAAGATTCTCAATATTACTAATACAACAACAAATCTTGAAAATTGAATAATTTATAAAATAAAGAGATCTTTCAAGTTGTTTCAATGAGGATGTTTGGGAGTGTCATGCATTGTGTGAAGCCTCAGGTTGGTTGATGTGTTGCGGGTTTTGTTAATTTGTCTATGAAACTCCTGTATTTTGTTGGAAAGTTGATGCAAGGGCGCTTGTTTGGGATGTTGATGATTTGTATTTTATTTATTATGTCTTTTGTGTAGGGATCTCTCTTGTTATTTTGGTTTGTTAGTTTTGTGGTATGGAGATTGTTCCAACCACTTATGTTGGGAGTTCATGTGGGTGATCCACGCCGGCTAGGTGTATTTTGTATTTTTTGTTTCTATTGACTTGCTAGGATTGTTGTCTCCTTTCCAAAAAAGTTATTCGATCCAATTTAAATCAACCGATCCAATTAGAACCAAGCTACCATAATCGGACATCTAATTGTATTGGCTCATATTGGATCCAAAATTTCAACATCCAGATTGGATCAATCAGTTCTTAGATGACAGTCCAGAATCCAATAAAACCGAACTGAACCAATCCAATGACCATCCAATTACACATCCAATTAATAACTATATATAATTATTAAAATTTTGCAATATTGTTTTTTAGTTGATATTTACAAGTTGTGATTTCTAATAAATTAATAAAATATATGAATAATTATTAGAAACGGTTGATTAATTCGCTAAAAATTGTACCAAATTATTGATGGATCCAATATGATGCAGTGGATAACAAATAATAATATCCAATGGATGGAACCGATATGATCCAACTTTACACTAGATTGGATTGAATCGGAATATCCAATATGCATTAGATGATTAGATCGAATTAAATCGACATAAATCCATTGGATTTCAATCAATCAACATCCTAGTCTTAGACAAAGAAGCCCTAGCTTAATATAAATAAATAAGCATTGATAAAGTTTCAATATTGATTTTTTAAAGATGAATATATGGATTCTGACGAAAATCTAAACTATAAATTTGGTCCATATGGTTTGTTAAAAATAAAACTTTTTGTCTTTATATTTTTGAAATTGTAAGATGGTTATCGTGATTTGTAAAATTGTCCGGATTTTGATCCTTCCTTTTAAACGGTTGTTGAACTTTTTTTTGTAAAATGAGGGCATGTTCGTCATTTTATGGAATTTTTTTTTTTTTTAGCAATCAAAGATCAGGGACCGAATTCATAAATTTAATTTTGATTGAATAAACGTATCCATAATCTAAAGAATACTTTTAGTAAAAAAAAGTGTGAGCTTGGACAACCAAATTTGTAGCTTACGAATGTTCCTAAAAAGGATATGTTATAAGTTTTTGAATTATTGAATGGCATACAAACCTGTGGATGCCGTATAACAACATTAAATTTATTATTTTATTTGACAAGAGAGAAGATCCTTTTCTTGTATTGCTCCTTTGGTTCCTACCAAAAATCAACACTCACACCAACCCCTCTCCAAAAACCCCACGAAAAGTCTTCCATCTTTTGTCTCCTATTTGTGATTGGTATTCGATTTCAACCATTTTTTATTGTTTAGGGTTTACAATTAGGATTAGGATTAGGATTAGGATTAGGATTAAGGATTTTGATTTTGATTTTGATTTTGATTTTGTAATTGAATAGAGAGCGAGCGACCGAGCGAAGGAGATGGAAACATGAGAACAGAGCAGGTAAGATCGATGGCAGCAGACACAAGAGGGAAACATAGGATTTCTGCTGCATTGAAGAGACTTGAGCAAGAAACTCATTCCATACAAGTAAATTTTCATCATCTTTCTTCAATTCTTATAACAATTATGTATTTTCTTTTTTTCTTTTGATTGCAATTTCATCTAAAAGCTCTTCTGTTAGTTCGATGTGGACCAGGAATTACCTTTTCCAAATGTGAGGTTTTTCTGTACAATATGACAGATCTTATCAGCTATCACTTATGGAATGATTGCTTTCTAAGTTTTTGCTAATTGTTTAGGAGTTTGAATTCTGTGGAATTGTTTTTGTTTGAAAGATTGACGCTTCAAAAAAGCCATGAAATTACTCTCCAAAAAAGCCATTTGGGAGAAACGGTCCAACAACACCTCGTAAGATGGGCACATATCCTCCAAAAGAGCCCTTTAGGACCGAGATTGAGATTGTCAACGACCTTGGCTTTGTGAGAGAATATGTGGAATAAGATTACTATTTAAAAGGGCCCTCCATGAAAGAAGAGGGGTTTGGACATGTATATATTTAGGAGAATGGTTCAAGTCGAACCGATATGGACTCCAATAGTTCAAACTTAGGATTGCTTGTTCTTGTTTTATTGGTACCCTTTGTCACGTTGTATGGAAAACATGGGAAATTGAGTCAATGTCTCTATGCTTGATTTTTGCTTAACTTCTTGTATTGACTTTTCCAAGCCATGGAAAGAGCCCTTTTTGCAAAAAGCAAGGGCATGGGCACATAGATTTGGAGCCTCAGTGCACCAATTTGTGTTCTGTTTGGTTCTCTAAAGGAAATTTGTGCTTAATTCTTTTGCACTTTTGGACTTTGTATTCGTAAAAGGATGGACTGCTCACTGCTCTTACTCAACTCGATTGCTGAAATGTTGGGTTTTTAGCAGCTAGGTTTGAAAATGACCAGGTCGAAGAAAAGGTCGTTAGAGTTATAAGTGATATAGTATAGATCAAAGCCCCACTTCAAAGGCTCATAACTTTTGATTCATTAGGATTATGGGACCCATAAGATTTGCACAGAAAGCTTGCGCGGGCCGGATGTATGACAAACAACCCGGTTTGGCCTAACTTTTGGCTCAAAATCTTTTAATCTAAAGCCCCAAATTTCATACTTGTATTTAGACACAAATTAATTAGGTTTATTTGCCGGTTTTTTTGTTCGGGATTTTTGGCAATCTGCCAAAAATAGTTCCGACTTGAAAAGGCTGAATTTTGTAATTTTAAACGTAGTGAATAATAATATTATTTTCTCTCAAAGTGTGCGTAAACACCATGTTCTATTCTGCACAGGGATTGTTTTTGAATTTTGTAGTAGCCACCTATACATACATACATACATACATGTACACACACATATATATATATATATACATATATATTATATATACATATAATTGGTTGGTATGTAAGCCATATAGCCTTAAGTTTTAAAATTATGGTGTGTGCAGGAAGAGGTAGAGCAACTTGAGAAAATGGGAGCAGCTTCAGGTGTATGCAAGGAGTAAGAATGAATGAACCGAACCAAAGCAAAGCAAAGCAAAGCAACTAACTTAACACGATTAGTTCTCTCTTCACAAATCTCTAATAACTCCCCTCATCTCTATGTAGGATTCTCAATGACGTTGAAACAAGGCCGGATCCCCTGCTCCCCACGTAATTTACTCCTTGCTTTCTTATATTTCCAAAAAGCAATTCATTTAGGGGTTGTTCTTTCTTGATGGCGGTCCTAAACGTTGTTTGTTTTTTGGCAGAACAAATGGTCCAACAACTCCGTTATGGGATAGATGGTTCGAAAGGCCACAAAATAAGTCTGATTGTAGATGCCGGATACTGTGACCATGGATTGTGTCATTTTATAATATCATGTATAGAAACCAATGTTGTTTTGACCAAGTACTATACTAGACGGACGTCCGTGAAGAAACGGCAAATTCACCAACTTTTTTCTTCTTTTCTTGAGCTAACAGGTGATGCGTTCTGGTAACATGGTGTTGTACTTTCATGTTTGTTGAATGGAATATTTTGTCATAATCCACAGAATAAACAGGACTATAAATTTAATTGAAAAAAAACAAACCTTATTTTTAGGTCAAATCGATATATAAAATAAAGGGTTTGGATTTTGACAAGTGCAAGCTAGATTATTTCAACATTGTTTGGTAAATTATAAGCTGGTCTTATGAAAAATTACTGTAGATAGCTTGTCAATAAAGGGTTTTCGTGTTTTCACCTTTTTCTAATTATACCGCTAGTTTTTGTTAGTTTATCAGATAATTTAACTAGACATATTTTTTATTAGTTTATCAGCTAATTTAACTAGACATATTTTTTATTAGTTTATCAGCTAATTTAACTAGACATATTGATCAACCGGGCAGTGCCTTGGTGTCATACATTTGGCTAAAAACAAGCACTAGGATACCTTGGATCACTCGATGTCGAATAATGCTACATGTAACACCCCATCCTACTAAACTTAAGATGAGACATGTCACAACCGAAAACGGATCAAAAGTCTACCATTTATAGTACAGAGCTCTAATGGAACTCCCAAAAAACTTTACAACCATTATATTACATAGCACTAACATAATCACCTAATAACATAGCAAAAACACTATATTCAATCGCTAGTCTTTTAGAATCTTAAGCCATCTCGACCCTTCATCCTGCCCCTAAGTTAGATCTTGAACCTACCGAGGTAAAACAAAACAAACCTCGACTGACCAAAAATTGCCCAGTGAACGAATAATAGCATAAGAATATCAAATATGAATAAATAACTGAAAGGAAACATTACGACACAAGTGAAATCATTTTAAGTGTAAATCTCTAAAATTTGAAAGTTATATAATAAAAAAAATATTCAAGGTAAGAACGTCATCCGTATTATTAGGATACGTTGTTCCCGATGGATGATCAATCCAATCAGGCGTCGTAATGGAATGGAAGTGTCGGGCACTACACCATCACATTCCCCGGTAACCAGAGGTATCTGGTATTCGGCTCTATCCGGTAACCAATATAATTGGTATTCGGCTCTACCCGGTATTCGTCTCTATCCGGTAACCAATATAATTGGTATTCGGCTCTATCCGGTATTCGGTTCATAGGATGCATCTAACATTCTCTATTTAGCTTGGTCGTAGCCTTTATGAGAATGTCATGACTATTTTAGCCATCATGGGGGGCGTCTCAACACCCATGCCCCGAGTATTGAGCTTATTCAAAGTTAAGTCAATAAACTCAAACTCAAATAACCAAACATTTGATAATAAGTCTAATAAAACCATTGAGGTTCCAATTTATATAAAATCGATCATGAGTCTTAAAACGTACCGGTAATGGTTTAGATTTATCAGGTACAMAAAAATTATAAACCAAAACATCATATATCACATAAAAGAATTTCAGATACCAATTTGATCATCTCCCCTTTTGTGGACATGTGTCATGATTAAGATTTCATAGAATGGATAATCACCACAATTGATTACCCACATATCAAAAGAAAGTAGATATTCGTACCTTGAAAGTGTTTTAAATATGATCAAACAAAATTCGAGGCTTATGAATRATTCCCTCTTTTCAGATTACCTACACTTATCAGAAAAAAGACTTTTAGACCATTTTCATTAACACTTCTCATCAACTTCAAGTTCCTACAAGCTATTACCTTTCATAGAACTTATGGACCTTCAAGCATGCTTAACATACCACTAGGACACTTAGTAAACATATAACACAATGCCTAGGACTAAAGACAACATTTGCTAAAATGAAATTTACACAATCCAAACAGAAGCTAACAGGTTATGTACACCAAAAGTTTAAGCCTTTTTCTCACACTTAGAGGGTGAACCAAACTTTCTTATAGAAATGAAAGTTGTACATATATCTCTTAGGATTTCATACCAACTGGATTCACATAATTTGGAGTTCTGGTCTATTTTATACAGAATTTTTATACAAACAGAATGCAATTTCGAGTGGCTGCAGACATGATCTGGAAAATCGAAGATTTCAAGCCATGTATGGTTCGAATTAGGTTTCTCAGTAACTACAAAGTTGTAGATAACTCAAACACCTTTCTAACGATATAAAGAACGCATCAATCGGACAAACGGTTGATGTTATATGAATTTCCAAACTTACCAAAACGAATCTGTCTCCTCTAACAGCACCAACTTGAAGAAATTTCATCAATCTTCAATTTTTAACCTATGAATCATGAATCAACTTAGGGTTTAACCATTGCTCGGAAGAATAAGAAATCAGAAAAATAAACTATAGACATACCTTATCTTGAGTTCTTAATTCCAATTATACCATCAATTCTTCAAAAAAACTCAAAGATTTAACAAGAAATCCCTAGGTTTATAGAGATGAGATGAAGAATTTTTAGAGAGAGGTAGGGGAGATCCTAGAGTTAGAGAGAGGAAGAAGCCTGATTTTGTTTTAAAAAAATAACAATTTCCCATATATATTTATAATATTTACTATCTAACCCTTGATCTTAAGCTTATTAGCAATATAATCATACTTTGGCAATTTCCTTTACAATTTTGGTCCTAACCAAGATTGTTCTAACCAACTTAGAACTCAAATGAATTTTATAAAAATAACTAGGCCTAATAAATGGCTCTTCATGACTAAGATATAAAACACTAAAGCACATTTTCACACTTGAACAAAATTGGTTCTCGATCAAGAGATTAGATTTACCAAATACGAGATATTATAATTCTCCTCCCCTTAAAAGGATTTCGTCCCCGAAATCGTGTTAGAGCTATGAATTATGTACCTGAAAAAAAAAACCTGTGGATATTCTTTGTGGGTCGAATCTTCAGTTTCCCATGTAGTTTCTCATTCTGAATGATTTCTCCATAACACTTTGACAACGGGACAGTTTTTTGTCGCATCACTCTTTCCTCTCGATCAATAATTGCTTCCGGTTCTTAATTATAGGAAAGATCACTTTAAATGTCATCACATGGATACTCTACCACGTAAAGAGGGTGGTAATTGTATCCATGGAGCGACAATACATAGAAAACATTGTATATATGCGATAATTAAGGCAGTAGGGCTAGACGATATGCAACTTTTCCAACACGCTCCAAAACTTCGAATGGACCGATGTATCTAGGGCTAAGCTTGCCTTTGATTCCAAATCTCCGGATAACTTTGAACGGAGAGACTTTCAAAGAGACATGATCACCCGGATGGAATTCGAGAGGCCTGCGGTGTTTGTCCGCATAACTTTTATGATGCGATTGAGCCTCTTTCATTTTTTGTCGGGCCATGTTGACTTTTTTGATAGTAATACGAACCAATTCGGGTCCTTCGATGATTTTTCTCCGACTTCATTCTAACAGGTTGGCACACGACATTTCCGTCCATATAAGGCCTTGTACGGAGCCATCCCGATACTGAATTGCCAACTGTTATTATACAAGAATTCTACGTGATAAAGAAACTCATCCCAACTACAGGCCCACTCCAAAACACATGCCCGTAGCATATCTTCAAGCGTTTGAATTTTTCGTTCGGTTTGCCTGTTAGTTTGAGGATGAAATGTTGAACTCTTAGTCAATCTTGAACCCCAAACTTAATTCAATCCAATCCATAATCGTGAAGTGATAGAAACCGGCGTACCGTGTAATCTCATGATTTCTCGTTGGAAAATTTTCAATAAGTTTATTGACTGAAAATGTTTCCTGGATTGGAAGAAAGTGAACAGATTTTGTCAGTTGATCAACTATAACCCAAATAGCGTTGTGACGCCTTGGCGTTTTTGGTAGCTCAGTTACGAAATCATGGAAATGTGTTCCCACTTCCAGACAGGGACTTCCAATGGCTGTAGTAAACCACTGACCCGCTGATGTTCAATTTTAACTTGTTGACAGGTTAAACAACTAGCTACATATTTGGCTATATCTCGTTTCATTCTGTTCTACCAAAAGTATTGTTTCAAGTCTTTATACATCTTGGTAGAGCTAGGATGAATTGAGGAAGGTGAGTTGTGGACCTCGTTCATGACTGCATTTTTTAGATCAGCAACATTAGGTACACAAAGTCGATCTCGAAACCAAATAATAACATCATTGTCAACCTGAAATTCAGATTTTGGATCATTTTTCAACTTTTGCACAACCGCCCATAATTCACCATCTTTACCTTGTGATTCTTTAATTCGAGAAATCATAGTTGGTTCAACCGTACAAGCAGATAACACACCAACATCTCCATGAAGATAAATTCAATGTTCAACCTTTCTAATTCTGCAGAAATTTCAAGTGGCACCATTATACAAGACACATTACCAACCTTTTTACGACTTAAGGCATCGACAACAACATTCGCTTTACTAGGATGGTACTGAATTCAGATATCGTAATCCTTTAGAAGTTCGAGCCATCGTCGTTGTCGCATGTTTAACTCCTTTTGAGTAAATATGTACTTCAAGCTCTTTCATTTTCGAAGGAGCCATACGATATGGAGCTTTTGAAATTGGGGCAGCTCCCGGAATTAAATCAATAGAAAATTGAACTTCACGTTCTGGAGCAATGTCGGGGAGTTCATTTGGAAAAAAAATAACATCTAGAAATTCATTAACAATATGAATATCTTCAGGTTCAAGTTGTATCTCACCCGGTTCTTGAAATGCAGCTAAGAAGCCTTCACAACTTTGCCAGATTAAAGCTTTAGCTTAGAAGACCGATATGACTTGGGTTCCTAGTTTAGGCGAGACACCCTGGAATACATATTCAGGGATGATTTTATCCCCAAATATCACTTGCTTTGAATCGCAGTCGATCATAGTCCGATTGTAACATCTCGCTTGAGCAAACCCCAAATTACCAATTCCTATAAAATCTCCAATAAAATATAATTTATTGATTATTGGGACCAAAATTGATCCTAAATTATTCTAAAAGTTTTGTCAAAGCCATCGAGGCCAAGGATGGAAAATCTGAAAATGTTGCTAAAAAGACTAAGTCTGGAGGAAAACCAGAGGCAATGGATAGACCAGAGGCAATGGTTCGACCAGAGGCAATGGTTGGACGAGAGGCAATGGTTGGACCAGAGGCAATGGTTGGACGAGAGGCAATGGTTGGACCAGAGGCAATGGTTGGACCAGAGGCAATGGTTGGACCAGAGGCAATGGTTGGACCAGATGCAATGGTTGGACCAGAGGCAATGGTTGGACCAGAAACAATGGTTGGACCAGAGGCAATTGTTGCATTGGTCCAGAGCCGATGCAATGGTCCAAAGACGATGCAATGGTCCAGAGACTATGAAGAACTAGAGGCTATAACGAACCAGAGGCCAACACTTTGAAACACACATATCTGGGCATAACATTAATTAACCTCAAAATATGGGATATTAATTTTCTAAAAAAAAACTTCGAAATATCCGTTCTATTTTAGTGATAAAATCACCCGAAACATAATTTCAAACCGGGTGTAACGGAGTTTTTACTTACAACCCTAATTATGTAGMAAAAGAATACGTGACAAGACTATATATAAGCTACACATACTACAACTATGAGATACGGTAATAGGCTACTATTTACCCAAAAGCAAGTTCGATATCTTCAAGTTCCACGATAAATCTTCAAGTCAAACAACGGGTTCTTTCTTTTTATCCGTCTTCTTTCCTGAGAGAGGTTGCCACTTAAATGGTAAGCCAACGCTTAGTGAGTTAAATAGTTAAGCATTATATATCAATATCGCACATGTTTATAAACATACATAATAAACTCTTATCAATAAAAGAGTTCAAGACATCATCTAGATGCAAACCGAAACTCACAAGAAACCGAGTGAACAATTACGTACCGGATGCTAAGATCATAGGATTATATATTCAAATCACCATAGTATACCATATCATTGATGCTCAATACAACAAGGAGACAAGATCAACAACCAAATATATTCAACAACGTTAGAATACCAATAAATATTAAGAACCAAGAGATCGAATCGGTAAACATAACGAAGACAGTGCATCACCCCGTCCTTCACCTCCCGGGCTCATGCCAAAGTCTGAGTCAGAATCATACATTACAGGAAACCTCGCACTGCCCGCCTTTCTCTACCGGGTATGTGCCAAGGTTCCCTACTCATTGCTCTTCCTCCTCTTCGAGCAATGAGTATTCACAACCGCATAAAGTCTCACCCGTCCAACCCGGGATCTTGACTTTGCCATAAACTTCCGATGTACCACATGAAGTAGTACCTGTACTATGGCGTACAATTCAAGGAACAAAACAACGAGTCCGGATCTAGAAAGCAAACCGATGTACCGAGATAGTAATAAGGATTCAACTCAAGAGACGGAATCAAAGACAAATCAAGATCGTGTGACTYCATTCAAGACCAAAAACATTCATATGAAAATATATATGTTCAAATTAATATGTAACAATTAACTATATAACTCACCGGGCAACCGTATAATACCGAAAAGCTCCGAATTAACAAGTCCAATCTACCACACTTAGATTACTTCCAAAGTATCAAAATATGTCTTAATTACCCCCT